TACCCGTCATCTCCCTCCTGTTCAATGGGATTCAGTAGCTGATACGATAAATCCGATGGACTACCACACTGCAATTGATCAGAGCCACCTAATTGATCGTACTCATTCTTCAGTCCTGGCCCAGGAGTATTTGGACCCAGCATCCCCAATAGCTCCTCCATATTAAACAGTTCTTCTACTGAAAAGTTCTGAGATCATCAAAATGATTGAATCCACTCTCACTGAACTGAGTCAAGTGACCAGAATTTATTGGTCCTTGGGTGATCCCGTACCCTCTTAACTGATCAGGATTCATGGATTCCACAGGCTGCTCTTCCTTCGACTCTTACTTAACTATATTCATTGGTGCTGGCGCAGCTGCTTCCATTGCAATACAAGGCTGACTGTAAGTCCCCGACTCATATTGCTCTGGCTTAGGTTCTACCCTTGGGAGATTCACCTTCAATTCCTCATCTAAGCAAACTTCAGAATAGCTGGATGAAGTGTGGTAGCTGAGTATGAAGATTCCATCGATGCACAGCTTACAGGAAAGTTGAGACGTACACAACGACCATACATGGCTTTGGTAGCCTCATCGTAACTCGTAAGCAAAAGTAGCTTCGAGAGCGATGGAGAAGTTCCCAGCCAAAGCCGACTTCCTCTATTCGGTTCTCAAATCTCGGCGACCCACTTTCCCCTTGTTCGCTGCCTGACGCCTTTGTAATTAGGCAAAGCCGGCTCCATGGGAATCACTTGTTTTCTGCCTCTACAATCGTTCTCCCAACCACCATCACCGTTAAGAGGAGAGCTCTACTCGGAAGTTGCAGTGGTCGCCGTCACCTGTGACAATTATATCAAAATCACCGCAACCATTGCAACTTCCAACAGTGATGGCGAACAATAAGGGTATTTTAGAAATTTTAAAGTAATTAATACTTGCATGATTTCACATGTGAATGGAGTAATTAACGGCAAGAAGGTTATAGACAATTGTCAAAAAACTTAAGGGTAGCATAAGACAATATCTAAACAATAAGCGTACAGTTTGTCAATTTCATGAACAATAGGGTAGTTTAAGAGATTTACACTTTATATTATCTAAAATTGACAATGATTTTTCTCACATTTCTCTTAATTCATCATGATATTTTAAAACCTCTGGTCTGTGTTTGGTTGAAGTGCAATTCTATTTGCATTAGTGTAAATATATATGAGTGCAAACAAAAAAAAAAATGCAAATTCTCATTTAATTTTGTTTTAGGTTTTACTTTATTCTGCTTCATGTCTTAATTTACTTCACGTGTGCTGCAATCAAACAAAATAAGTTAAAATTTGAAATAAAAATGGGTCAAAATTTACACTCAAATCATTTGCACTGCCATGATTTTGCATTAGTGCAAATTTATTTACATTGCAACCGAATAGTGAGTTTTATTTTCATCTAACTATCCTGAATGGACAATCATCTTTATTAATTTTTTTTATAGTAAAATTATCCTTAACTTGAGTTTGGGCCCACATTAAGCCCAACCCACATATATTTAAAATATATATTTTAATAAGTTTGGCATACCATTCAAAGATAATATGATCATGTAAAAAATATTCAAATGCTTGTATAGACAATTTCAATTAGGGAAAATTCTCGATTAGTACCCCATACTTTGGGCCTAGTGCCACTTTGGTCCCCGAACTTTAAAATGCAACAATTTAATACCTAAACTTTCAAAACATGACAATCTAGTACATGATGTTAACTAGTTGTTAATCAGCCACTAAGTGGCATTTGAAAACGACACAAATTCCCTTCGAGTGTCATCTAACTTTCTTTATCAACCATCCAAACATTGACAAAAAATTAATAGTCTCAAATCCTTGCCTCTTCTATTCAAGAAAGTTCGGGTCACTAGAATGTGCAATCAAACGTAACCCCAACTTTCTTGAATGGAAAAGGCAAGGATTTGGGACTGCTAATTTTTTGTCAACGTTTAGATGGTTGATAAAGAAAATTAAATAATACTTAAAGGGAATTTGTGTCTTTTTGGAATGCTACTTAACGACCGGTTAACAACTAGCTAACGACAAGTACTGGATTATCACATTTTAAAAGTTTGGACACTATTATCGCATTTTAAAGTTTGGGGACCAAAGTGGCACTAGGCCCAAAGTACAGGGTACTAACCAGGAATTTTCCCTTTCTATTAATAATCAATAAAACTAACTGACATGGAACTGCATAAAAGTTTTAGAGAGTCATGGAAAATTTTATCAGGAGTTTAGGGTTGGACCCAAACTGGGCCCCACTTGTGTGAACATAACGTATAAGTGTACTAGCGAGAAGCTCGTGCAATGCACGGGAGCATGTAGAAATTGATGATAGTTGAATTAGGTGAAATCAAAATACTTATAGAATAAGTAATTAAAGTATTAAGAATAAAACTACTTGGCCCAATTAAGTAAGAGTATGAGTTCAAATGGATGGGATCATGATCCAATTTGATTCGAGATCCTATCCTATTTGGTCAAATTCGGGTCACCCTTGTTTGGATCTTCATATCGGATCGGATAATAGGGTTCGACCAGAAATTGGATTCAGATTCGGGTCACCCCCTATCCAATCCAATATATATTATGTATTTATAAATATATATAATACATATATATGTGTTATTTATTTATTTATAAATATATTTTTATATTATATTTTTATAAATTTTTTATATTATTTATTTTTTTATAAAAAAAGATGTATATATATGATGAAAATAATTAAAAAATACATGTATTTTTTGTTTTTACTTTATTTAAATTACTATATTTTATTTTTCTTTTAATATTTTGTTAATTTTTAAAGAAAACAAGTCGGACCGGATCAGATCCAAAGATTTGACTTACGATAGGATTCTAATTCAAATCAAGTCCTATTAGATCCAAGCAGATTTTCGGATCGAACCGGATCTAGCATAAATAGTGTCAGATTGGATTCGAATATACCCTGATTCAAATCCGATCCGATCCATTTACATCCTTAAATAAGAGGGTTTGAGGATGTGGGATAAATTTTATAAGTAAGAAAAATATTATGAATATCAACCATAACAAAGTGACAAGCTAGGTCTCCTTATTAGTGACAGTTGAATCAGCATTGGAGGATTTGGATGGTGAGGAGGCCATTAAATCGGCATTATAGGATTTAGGCAGCCATACCTAGATTTAAAAAAGTGTTAGAACTTATATACTTGTACCAGCCATTCCCCAAATTTAAACACTAGAAATGAGAAGAAGTTGAGAATATGTAAAATGTACAAAAAAATAGGTTAGGATAGATCTAAGAATATTCTAACATGAAAAGTTGAAAATTAAACTCTTATTGTATGGAGCACATAATTGAGAAATTGGAGAGAAGTGCTTGTGTGATTAACCAATAATCTACAAACAAAACAAATTAATTACTCAAATATTCGCTTGCCTTTGGAAAAAGCCCTAGAAGGAATTCATTTGAGAGAATTTACACATTTAAGAGAGCTAAACATATCAACTTGTAAACGGTTCATTTACAAAAGCATGTGTGTAGGCAGGATTTAAATATAAAGTGAAATATAGGGGCTTACCAATTTGGGTTTAGAGAAACGATGAGGGTTGGAGAAAAAAAATAGAGGGAAAATTGGGTAGAAGAAAATAGTTCAAGTTAGAGGAATAAAATCTCTCTAGGCAAACACATTAATAACATGATAAATGACTAATATTGTCTCTATTTGTCAATTATAAATTTCTTTGCAAATAGGGAATAATGAAAAAGAATTTAATAGCTCTATATGTGGCAATATCAACATTAAGGGTTACTTTTATAATTTAAATAAACTAATATCACACATGTGACAAGGAAGAGAGCAAAGGTACTCGTTTGAGCAACCTCGTGTAGGGGTGGCCATGAGCCGAGCTTTTCATGAACTACTCGAGCTCGGCTCAATTCTGTTTTAATCGAGATTCGAGCCGAGCTCAAGCCCAATTTACATGCTTGTTTATTAATCAAGCAGAGCTCGAGCCTAATAAAACTCAGCTCGTAAGGCTTGCAAGTCGGCTTGAATAGCTACATATAATAATAATAATAATAATAATAATAATAATAATAATAATAATAATAATAATAATAATAATAATATTTTATATATTTATTTTTATAAAACATTTTTCTCAAGTCAAATTCGAACTGAACCGAACTCAAACTTACAAACTTTTAACTCAAGACGAACTCGAGTTCAAAGTTCTAACTCAAACCAAACTCAAATTCAAACTTGAACCTTATATTACCTTATCAAACTGAACTTCAATAACTAACTATTTAACTCGACTCAGCTCGAATCCACCCTACGTGAGAGCCCTCTTACCTTTTATTGTTCCTCTTTATATTATAGATATCGATAGCATTTATAACAGTAGTCATGTCTCATGTGGTATGGTATTAGTATGAGTATGAACTACCTTACAATTAATAGAATATACTTTCTAAATGTGAAAACAAAATAAAATAGTAGCCCCTAGAGTTAACCAATAGTTCTCACTCCATACTACTGCCAGATCAATAGATTAATTATAGACCAGAAGCCCCCTTTCTGTCTAACTTGCAACCGGAAGTTCCAAGAGAGTTTGAATCAAGTACTGTAGGTTAAATACAGGAGATATAAATTAAGGTTTCTCAGACCAGATCAGAAAATCCTAGAATGGGTCAACCAAAATCACTGATCTTGCGGCCATCATGGCTTAGCAGTTCCGATCAAGAGGAGAAGTCAAAAAATCAGATTATGATAATGATAAGGGTCCCACTTAAAAAGAAAAATATTAGACTGCTTTGTTTATTAAGAATTTAAGACTTAAGAGTGATTTGGAAAAGTGAGAGTGAGAGTAGTACTGTAGTAGTAGGGCAATAGCTACAGCCGGACCGGTTAAACCGCGTCAATAGCCCTTCTTTGTCGACTTGCACCATGTGACTCGACTCATCTTTCTCCTCTCCTGTCCAAAAGTATACTTGCTTTGCCATTTTTTTTATGGTGAATATCTTTGCCATTAGATCTTCCCTTTCGTTAATCACCTTCGTTTTGGATTTAAAGCTCTCTCTCTCTCTCTCTCTCTCTCTCTCTCTCTCTCTCTCTCTCTCGCCATACCAAAAACCTAGATCCAATTGTATCTATCGGCTTACAATCCATTAGATCTCAGAAACAAAACCAGTTTCCAAAATGGCTTCACCCCAGGACTTGAGTTTCAGAAGATTACTTCTTCTGTATCTTGTTTCCCTTCTCTTTTCTTCCTTTCTCGTTTCTGCCGTATCAGAAGTTCAACCCCAAAAGAAGCAGTTTGTCGGTAGGAGAATGTTAGAGATAGAGGAGGAAGGCCTACAAGATCTGCCAAAGAAGAAATCAACTAAGCTCATTGAGAAGGAAGAGGAAAACCAGCCTAAGAAGAAGTTGACCAAAACCCAAGCCAAGCTCATTGAGATGGAGGGAGGAGATGAACCAAAGAAGAAATCCACCAAAACCCAAACCAAGCTCATCGAGACAGATGAGGAAGAGCAGCCGAAGAAGAAGACCAGCAAAAGCCAAGCCAAGCTCATTGAGATGAAAGAGGAAGAGCTGCCAAAGAAGAAATCCACCAAAACCCAGACCAAGCTCGCAGAGGAGGACGCAGAAGAGCAGCCAAAGAAGAAATCTACCAAAAACCCAACGAAGCTCGTAGAGGGAGACGAGGAAGAGAATCCCAAGAAGAAATCAACCAAATCCACGGGGGAGGAAGACCAGCCCAAGAAGAAATCAACCAAAGCCACGGAGGAAGAAGACCTGCTAAAGAAGAAAGTCAGCCTGTCGACCAAAAACCAAACCAAGCTCATCAAACCGACCACCAATTCAACAAAGGTAACAACAAAGCTCGTCAAACCAACCACCAATTCAACAAAAAAGGCAACAACTTCTTCTGGTTCTGGAACAATCCTCCCCAAGACGCAACTCAAGAAGCTCAACTCCACCTCAAAGAGCTCAAATTCCACCAAATCAAATCCAACTTCCATCAAGAAATCCCCAGATCTACTGGAACCCAGCACACCCAAAAACAAAACAGCCACTGTCACCAAACCGTCACAAAAAACCACTGCCAAGAAATCCATTGAGCTCAAATCCAAAACCTCAGACAAGAGTCAGCTCGCAGAGCAAAATGCCAAACAAGAAAAGACCAGGAAACCCAACCATCCCAACTGGATGGATCAAGACGACGAGGACGACTTAGTAGCGGAATTCAGAGATCTCCCCTCCAAATTTCATCAGACATTCATCCCAGACCTCGAGAGAATCTCAACAACCTCCAAGGTTTATCTCAACAAGGCCAACAAAGAAATCACGGAAGGGTTCAAGCCCTTAGTAGGCAGCAAATACGCACCCACCATAGCTTCGATAATCTCTTGCATCTTCATTCTGGCCCCTCTCCTCCTCGTCACTCTCATCTTCAACCGAATCAAAGCTTATTTCTCCCTTCAACAAATCCTACTATTCATTCAAATCTACCTGTCAATCTACTTCTCAATCCTCGCATTCTCATCGTTGGTGACAGGATTGGAGCCATTGAAGTTCTTCTACTCGACGTCGCAGTCGAGTTACGTTTGGTTACAGGTATTGCAGACGCTGGGGTACGTCATATACCTGCTGTTGCTGCTCATGTACCTGGTAGTGGTGTTCTCGACGGAGACTGGATTGGGGTCGAAGTTGTTGGGCCTGGGGCAGACGATCGTGGGCTTTACAGTGGGCTTGCATTACTACGCGAGAGTGTTTCACAGAGCAGTGCTGCATCAACCGCCCAAGACGAATTGGAAAGTCCACGGGATATACGCCACGTGTTTCTTCCTGATATGCCTATGCACGAGAGCTGAGAGGAGAAAGAAGGCTTATCTACAGGACAGCGGTGAGGAGGGAAAGAAGAGCTAAATGATAAATCATAGATCTCTCCTCTCTTTCGTTCTTAATTCCTTCCTTATTCCTCTTCCTCTCCCTTTTTTTTATCTTTCTGTTTCTACTGAGGTTCTTCGGGTTTTAGGACAATGAACAGGCGAGAGAATCTCGTTCCTTTTCCTTCTTTATACTTTTTTCATATAGTTTTGCTATAATTTATTGTTTCTGTATTTGAATTGGCGAAAGATAAATAATGATGAAGGAATTCATGAACACAATGGCTGCCAGAGCTATCAGCCTCAAATCTCTCCAGTTTTGGATGGTTGATTGGTTTTTTCATTTGTTAGAACTTAGAAGAGAATCTTAAGTGAGTGAGCCTGTGGTTGGGGCTGGGGGTCCCACTAAGCCCACTCCAATGTCCAGATCCAGATCCGCATGAAGCTTACTCCAGTCCGATTAATAGATTAAAGACCCTTATGCTTAGGTTATGTTTGGTTTGAAGGAAAAAGAAGAAAAATATAGGAAAAGGTAAAAAAATCTAGGGAGAAGTACCGATCAGCACAGCTCAGAGTTTACTAGCCACCAAGTACAGGGGAAATGTATCTGACCGTGAATTGATGCCGAATTCACGGGTAGGATGTGGTTTATAGGGGAAAGAGGGCTAGTTGTAAGGGGTGGCTGGAATTCAGAATTCTGCATCGTGTGTATTCATACTTTTCCCAAAAATCTATGTAAAAGTTTTCTTACCTTTTTCTTAAACTCATATCTGCCCTTCACAAAAGGCGCCTCACAATGCCCCACATAATACATTCCGACCTTATATTGTGAATATCTTATAATGATAGTACGGGAGATAGTAAGACGCCAATACCGAGAAAGAATGCGATTGATTAATGACTAGCGTGGGTGAGATAGTATGCGACAAAATGTCGGATTAAGGCTATCAATTTTTTTTTTTTTTTTTTTTTTGAGAATGGAGAACAATATGGAAGCATGTGTTCGAAGATATTAGGCCTATTAGCCATTTAGCCATGGACAAAGGGAAAAACAGAAGGAAAATAATTTGGAAATTAAGGGTAATTTGGTCATGAAATTTTTGCCGACAGATTTATTCGTGTGTCGGTGGACCATATAACATACAAACGGTGCGGTTTTAAGTATAAATAGACGTGGCAATCGGTATAGCTGTTGGGTTGGGCCGGTTGGCTTCCAAATACACAGAGGAATACTCGTTTCTTACTTCGCCCAGTGGACGTGTGCCTCTTTAGTATTCGTGTGCCGGTTGTCCCTCTTCTGATTTCTGATTTTATTCAATGCTTATTTCTAGTATCTGACTTTTCTTCTACCACGTGAAGTAGGAACTATTTGTGTACTCTTTGGGGCTACACAACGGCGTAGTCCATCCCCAACTCTGGTGCAAGTGGGATTTTATCTCACCTCAAATTAATGTGAAACTTATATTAATGTGTATGATTTAATTTTTTAATTTAAATATAAAGATTTTTAATGTGATGTGTCCCATTCCTTGGTGAAATAGGTTGATTCGATTTTCAAAAAAAAATTTCAAATAAAATATATTATCTAAACAAAATTTCAAATAAAAATGATATATAGGTGTAATTGCCCAATACTTAGTATTGAGTCATTTTATAGTATTAAAATCTATAGGAAATAGCTAGGTCGATTCATTTATAAGTCCGGGGCAACCATCCAGTGAGTTGAAATCTACACTTACAGAATGCATTTCAAAAATGTCCCAAAACACATTCCAATTGTGTATTGAAAACATCTTCCGATGACGAGTATGGGAGATATTATCAATGTATGATGAGATGTGCATGTGGGGTGTTTTTAGAGTGCAATCTGTAGGGGGCAGATGTGAACTCTTAAAAGCTCCAGATTTTCTACTCACAAAACACTACCTCTGTGCATTGGGAACATCTCTCCATAGATAATAACATGTAAGAGTATGAAATGTTCCCCATATGTGACTGCGACCTCATGTGGGTAGGTATGGGTAGAGCTGTCGTGGGTAGGAGATCCGGATTCAGATTTAAATGTTGATTTTGGATTAATTCATCAACCAATACAAAAATATAAAAATACATTGAAATGAAAATTTTTGCAGCCCAAATTTTTTGGATATTTGTTGCAATAACATAAAATATTGATAAAATAATAACATAAAATTGCATCCCAAACTCTGATCAAGTGATCATCAGGGAGCAGGACAGGAGTCCCATACTCGCATATGACCAAAGCTTCCAACAGGGGACTCGGATCCTTTGCACCATTCCAGACTCTGTCTGCCCTTATCTCAGTTACAAGGACAATTTAGGTCACCCCCTAAACTAAGGCCGCTGGACTGGAGCATTTCGTCCTAATTCCCAACGGATCATATTGAGGAAGGGCATGCCATCAAAACTGGTAGATGCGTAAAGTGGGCTGGAACTAGGCCCATTTGTCCACTTAATAGTTAGTTGGCGCCCACTTAAGAGTGACCTTCTCCCACTATACTGAATCTGGGACATCCCACTTAAGTTGTTGGTTCTATGATTATTGGAGCTGGAGGTTAATCAAGGCATTCACCATTGAAGAGAGAGAGAGAGGGTATTGTCGTTTTCAAGGGTTTTACAAACACATGATCATTGAAAGTTGAAACCGAAAAAGATTCCTTCAATTGGGTCCTACCTCTGACATATTCATCATCAACCAAGAGGTGTCGAATCGAGTGTATGTGGACTATTGAAAGTTACAGCATATTGAATTACTGAATATTGACCCGCACCTTGCTCATCATCAACCAAGCAGCTTTTGGATTTTATAAAGCATTGAAAGCTGAAACGATTCCACCAAAAACATGGGAAAAAACCCGACCAAAAGATGCATGTTGTTATTGATTTTAGGACCAGAAAGAAGAATCTTAGATGAACATGAGCTAGATTCTCACTTCTCTTGGAAACAACAGGTGCATACATTGATTCCGATCTTCTGGAGAAAATTGTCTTCATTTTTGTTTTGTTTGAAAATTATGTTCATTTTGATAGACGTCTTGGCATAGTCCTTTAAAATTAAGTTGTGGGTTCGTAGGATCTTAAGTTGTTGAGGCCTTAAGGGACATCACGTAATAACCCTAGAGAATATCTTTGGTTGTTTCACAATGCCAATGCAAATGTCCATACAGCTTTTTTATAGAAGAGCTTAGAATCATTATTACATAAATTGATGATTATTATATTCTTTTTATTTCCCTTCTTAAGCTGGTGTTGGAAGGGCTGGAGATAAAATCATGAAAAGTGGGCTGAGAAACTTATCAAGCCCACATGGGACTCAACCTTAAGTGTAGCATGCTCACTTGTTGAGAATCCGGATTTCTTTTTTTATAAAATGGTCCTCATACCAAAACTGGATTTTCTCATTACAGAGCATTTCTCACACCAACCTCATAGCAAATTGCAACCATACAATATGAGACATGTTTCAAACTCGGCTTCAGTCAATGCAAGGCCCATTTGAACAGCGTTTATGGCCTTGCATTGGGAATATCTCCCCATGAATTAAAGTATATATGTACTGAGATATTTTCAATACAAGGCTGTAAAGGCTGTTCAAATGGGCCTTGCATTGACTGAAGCTGATCTCATTCTCAATACATAGCTGAAAGTACTGTAGCGTTGGTGTAAGATGCAGTTTGTGAGAAGTCCCAATTCCCTCACAGCCCTTGCAGCAGTACATTGGGAACATTTCTATCCTTGTATGTTTTTAATTATGGAGTGATATTTCCAATTCATTGCCATAAGTGCTGTGAGGACCAATTTTGGGAGGAAATTCAAATTCAATATGATATTCATTAATAAATGCTCAGACTATAAATTGGGAAGATGCAATCATCAAGAAAGTGAAAAATGCAATACTAGAGACCACATTTCTTGGGCTCAGTTCAGAAGGAGTTGTCAAACCTTATATTTTGTATATATTTGCATTCTATATTTGTAGAATGCAAAAACTTGTATTTTTTATTATTTTGTATGTACTGTACATATTTGTATTTATATTCTTTCCAAACTGAGCCTTGGGAAACGTAATCAGGAATGAAACTGAGACGAGACCTTTGCAAGTGATGCAAAAGTCAAAAATACCAAAAGAGGACAATCTGTCTCCAATATATAATCTCAACAAGCATGAACCCACAGCAAAAACTCGAGACCCAAACTGCAAAGCCATCAATGCATGAGGTTTTGTAAAACTTAGGGCTCAGTTTGGAAGGAGTAAAAATACAAATCTGTAGACTGCAAAACCGTGTTTTTTGTATTATTTTGTATGTATTTGCACTGTATATATTTGTATTTATATTTCTTTCAAACTGAGCTAAATAACCAAGGCAAATCCTATGCTTTTTTAATTTACAACTTAATAGTGTGCAAAACTGTGAATTAAAAGGAAAGCAAACTTTCCATGTAAAAATGAAAAAAAAAAAAAACAAATTGTCCATTTTACACTGAAACAAATGCAATCACGATGAAACTTACAACTCTAGTGAAAATTTCTGAGAAATCTTCAACATCAATGATGGCGGGGCACATTGAATGCCACCAAGAAGCAAAAAGGGAGAAACAAGAGCAGTGAGACAGGATTAAGAGACGCCTCAAACAGAGCCGGTGGGACAAGAACGGCCCCTTGGATCGCTTCATAGTCTTCCATGTCATAAGAGAACCTTGCCAGTGGAAAGTGGGATACGGATGTTAGAGACCATTGTCATTGAATCGAAAGTCCTGGAATTAATCTCGCCATCACCTAGGTCACGAGATAGTTCCTCCTTGAGATTTTTTGACAAACACCTGGGAACATAAATTTCACAAATATCATCTGAATGAAGGCTTTCTTTTTTTTTTATTTATTCTATGTAATAAATGCAGCAACTGAAATTGATAACGTACCGTCACAAGGGATTAGAAGTTCAAGGATAACAATAACAAACCATATCTTCTGTAGCAGAATAGCAGATGAGCAGAACAGCACCCAAAAAAAATGCTGAGAGCCTGAGACCGATTAGGTAATGGGCCGCACATTAGCTTGAGCATGAAGATTAGACTAAATTTTTTACATGGGCCAGGATTAAGCCCAGCATGTCTCTGACTTTGAAATTTGGACAGGCTCAAGTTCTATTTTGTTGTGCCAGACAAGGTCATGGGCCATGAGCCCATGACATATCTTAGCGTAACAATTGTCATCAAGAAGAAAAAAAAAAGTTCAAAATAAATCGAAATTCCACCAACAA